CACTCAAGAACATGCAGCTGTATATGAAACTGCATTTCTGGATTCTATTTAAAGACATAGTTTCTATWTTTTTTTCAGGGTCTCCATAGTTAGTATTTTATTAAGTATGGAGTTTGAGTGGATGTAACTGGGATAGTTTTGCAGATATTTCCTTCAGTACTGGTTCTTTAATAACTCAAGCAACAGAAAACTACAGGGGAAAATTGAGCTTTTGATTTCATAGTGTCTTAAATTAACATTCAGTATCTACAGTTTGTGCAGGTTGTTAAAATAGCCAGCTATTCAGATTATTCTGGGCTTGAGAGGTGTCTTCATTTGAATTCTCTTATGATCATGAACTCTAGCAGGAGAGGCATAATTTTGAAATTTTTTTTCTCCATATTTCAAGTAATAATTAGTTTGGAGGAAAACRAAGTATTCCTTGTAAATTTTAATTTTTATTCGCTTTATTTTGCAATATCTGAATGAAGTTCTGCTTAAATTGTGCTCACTAAGCCTAAATGATTTCAAACAGGTCTAAAGACAATTTCACTGAATGTAAATTATTCAAACACAAATTGATTTTTGTAGCTGAAAGATGGGGATGTTTATAACCTGTCATGTCTTATTAACTTCATTCTTTGTTTTTGAAGACTGAAGAAGATCCAAGTGARTAACTTCTCTTCCAGGGGTAGGTGRGAGGAATTCCAGYTTTTTGGTAGTTAACTGCAGAATGACTTCAGTTAACTTTTAAGGTCAAAAATTGATGTCCAGCACAGATGCCTTAAACTGACTGCACAGCCATGGATGGAGTTTTAAACTATCAGCTCTCAAAGGTGATAATGAATCCGTTAATTTTTCAGTCATTGTCTTGTGAATCTCAATGAAACAAATTATTGTTTGTATTGAAAGGAGTGGATGGGAGCAGTGACCTTCCCCACAGTTTATACCATTTCAGCACAAAATCCAGCCTTTTGTCAGTGGCCTGTTCTAAATAAATTTAAATGAACACATACCAAGATTTGAAGAAAATATCCTATAAACAAGCTGAAGTGACACATCTCAATCCTGTGTTTGATCCATGCCTTTTGCTACCCATGAAAATGATGTGAATGTAAATTTGGATTGAAATTGTATATACAAGTAATAAATTTAAGATATTTCAATTTTTCATTGGAAAATGTGCAGATTAAGCTTTTAGTGTGTGTACTTTTGTGATATCTTGAAAAATTTTATAAAAACAACAAAAACCCCCAACAATGTTGTACATCAACTTTTTTTTCCACCCCGAAGTGTGAAGAAAAACAACTTGAAAGAGTGTAAGRCTGTAGATTTGCATGGGAATTCCTGCTGCACTGAGGTATCAGGGAAACCCAGCCTGTCAAAGGGGAAAGGGCTTCTTAGAATGTGAGCCAGCTTTTTTCGAGTTCAATATTGATTTATTCTTGTCCTATGATTGGGTATCTRTTGAAAATATGACAGGTGAATGATAAATGTGGCAGAAAGCAAGGAGTGACAGTCCATCCACAGCTCTGGCTGCCTCTCAGGAATGCCCCTTTCACTTCCCACAGGCTTGAATCTTCCCTCTCTTCCCTTGCAGATAGGTGGGAAAAATAATTCTTGYACTGCTGCTCATTTCACTGTCTGGTTTCAAGTGGTTCATCAGGGTGCAGGGCCATAACTCTGAACATGCATAGATGTGTATCCAACATCCCTTCCCATGCCTTTTAGTTCAATTTAATCCAACCTTACCTCCTTCCCTTGCCTTTTCGGTCCATTTAATCTTCAGTGTCTTAAGATTGGTTGTGTTCTAACAGTGGTTGATGCCTGACCACTTTGCAAGTCTGGGACSTTGTCTTAAAAATCTCCCATGTGCTTGTTAAAAAAAATCTAGGTTTGTCTTCATTTCTTGTTGACAAATAATCATTCAAACATTTCAAAAATTACCCTGCTTAAAAGCAGCAAGGTTTTTGTCATGGTCAGAATCCTGGATTCTAATGGCTTATTAAAAGGGGAGACTGAAGCTGGCTCTTGTTCCTGGTGGAGGCCAGATGATGTTTTCCTACACTGAGCAGCAGTGGCCTGTCTGTGTTTGAACAGGGATTTTGGATTTCTCTGGGAGACAGTGCATTAGAATGGATGGAAAAGAATTTGTATTCACAGCAGCCTCCACCCTGCAGCCTTTGCTTCAGGCACTGCTGAGGTGACAAATGACACTCCCTCGGCTCCAGGCAGAGAGGACACTTCAGAGTAGCTGAGGATCTCTTCCCCACAAATTCCACAGCTCCACCAGGCTCAATCTGTCACCTCAAGAGCTTTCTTCCCTGCTGTCTTCAGCCTCGGTGCTTTTGGGATTTCARTGAACAACCCTTCACCTGCATTTCAGCCAGCCCTGGCACACAGGTTCTGTCAAAGCAAGCTCAACCCAATCTGTGAGCACCTATTAGGAAACTTTTATCTTTAACCATAAATTACAAGGCAGGAGGATTTGCTTCCCATATAGAAGGGCAGAGTTACAYTATTACTCATGTTAAGGAGGAAAGGAATAAAGAGCCAGATCTTTTGTACTATTCCAGAGGAATAGTATCTCTTCCTATAGGAAGTGAAACCCCACAAACTCTTAMTGTATTGTCAAAGACACTCAAAGGCTGTGAAAGGTTTAACTGCTCCCTGCATTTACAGGGAAGACAGTAAAATCAAACTAATTTTGCAGAAAGAAAAAAAGGTTAGAAAATAGCTTAGAACTGAGGTAGTTAAACATCAGTAGCAGAGTGCCAAACTGATTTTATAGGCCGTGCCCAACTCTGAATGATAGAAAATTTAAACTACAGKCAAGGAAAAATAGATCTAGCTCAATAAAAAGATACAAAAAAGTGCAAGTATGTGAGATCATTCTGTAGTCCTCACTGGAAATTCAAAATGTTCAGATCAAGTAACAACATGGTACCTTTTTTTTTTTTTTTGTAACTAAGCAGGATTGAAAATATATCTGCTGCCAAAATGAAGCATTTTTGGGAAGTGGTGTACAAAATGAGGCAGAAGTGTCAAAACAAATGATGACTAAAACTCATTTAACACCAAGTGTAGCTCAGGAAAACAAATCATATATTAAACTGGAAATGTATTTCGTTTCTAAAGATGGGAAGTTCTTCCATCAAGACCCTCATGTTGCWTAAACAAAATTTAACACAGTACCAACCTATCATTTTATTTAACAGTGAATTTTGACCAAGTGATTGACACAAATGTTCCAAGGTTGAACGCCTCCATCAAATTATTATAATAATTGCACTGAGTTTGGATGGATCTGATGTTATGCTAAATTATGCTGTGTGTGTGTCAACTTTTTATAAATATGAAAGCTACAGTGTGTTTTAAAGCCCTTTTTTTAGGTTGTCAGCTTTAGATCACTAGTGACTTTGTACGTAGGATGGATGAAGTTAATTTAAATCCACCAAACATCAAAATTAAGGATTAAGTCTATGCAACATTCTGCTGGCACAGGGTAAGTTTTGTATTCTTCCTAGTTATAATTAAGATGCTTCAAAGCAAAACTCACCCTCTACCTATCTTCTTAATCAGCTAATCATAAAAGTTAAAATTTAAGCAYTGTCCTTCTRAAACAATWTTTAAAAACYAACAGAACTACAYGTAACTTCATGGTGATTAAGCTTCATTGCCTTTCTGATAGCAAGGGAAAAGGCTGCACTTGAGCTGGTAAGTCACAGCAGATGCAAAACAACCCTTCTTTCAAGTTACCTTTCTTCCTCCAGCAGGAAGTTAATCCATCAAGCTCATACWAGCATGAGGCACAGCTCAAGCTACAGATGTGCCTGATGTAGCAACACCAAGAGCTGAGTGAAGAGCAGAGAAACTCACAGTATGTGTCAAGAACCTCCGGCTAGGACCCTGTATAGCAGAACCTATATACACATACATGTATTTTCATGTRGAAGCCTGAAGGGAAAAAGCCTTATCCAATTGTCCTAAGGGAGAGTTGGGCAAGCTGCTTTTTCTTGTTCCACAGCCAGACAAGCTGGGTGCCATGAAGAGGTGCAACAGCTGTGCAATAGCTAAAAGTGAAAGGCATACTGTAAATGTAGTGTAAAACCTCTTTAGTGAGACTCAAAAGAAAAAAATTCCCTGGTGAAGCATCCAGATATAGAACTGGTGTTTAATTACKCCCAGCCCCTGTCCTGTGCAAGGAGGCTTTTATTTATCCCGTTAGCTCCCACTGTTCCATCTAAACCACATATTTCTGTGGTTAGTTACAGCAGCATGCTCAGCATTTCAGTAGAGTTAGATGAGTAGCAGACACTCAGCCCAAGCCTGGACACTGCACCRTTGCTCAGCTTATAAGGACGTGACCCAAGCAGAAGTCAGTGCCTGCTGAMTTCACACCTCCCTGGAGTGTCCAGCCTGTACAGGAGCCTGCAAACACCACTTCTGTGGAGAAACTGCTCCATTTCTGTTACTTCTTCCTTGCTAAAATAATTCTCTTCCAACGCTGGAGATGCAAGAAAGAGAATTCAACCTGCCTTCGAGGACACGTGAGTTACACACGATTCCTCAAAGGAGTTTCATTTCATTTACATCAATATGAATCTCTTTYAGTCAAATAGGAATAAAAAAGTAGTCACCCCTGGAATTTCAGAGTTTCCAGTTCAACAGAATGTATATATGTAAATTGTTACTGTAGGTAACAATTAMACAGGTGAAATCTGCAACCAGAGGTACAAATGTAAGCCATGAAGCTGCTCTATATGTAGAGTATATTCCTTATACTCTACATTCCTAAAATGCTTGATTTATATTGCTTTCCTCCCCCCACCATAAATTCACTGGCACAGGTTCAGTCTCTTAAATACAGCTTACCTGAGTAAGTCTTCAAGATTCCTCAACAGCTGGGACTTGAAAGGGAAAATAACTCCACCGGGACAAGGAGCAGTATTAATAGCAGTGGCTGCTTCATCTATCCAAGACATCCCAGCATATTCCAGCTCTGCTTAACAGCTTCTACACAGAGTCTGACAGCACATGTGGTATTGTACATGCTTTATTAAAATGGTACTCRTATTTACAATATCTGCAGAAACAATCCCTCCCAAGTCTTGCATTCAGACAGACACACACACAGACACACGCGCGCAACGCCCCTTCACTCTATGGGGGTGTGAAGGCTATGCTCCCAAAAGTTAGGCAGCTTCTGGAAGAGGAGGAAGGGAGACTTTTTTGTGTGTTTGTAATTCATTAAAAAGAAGCATGGGAGTATGCATTTGGCCATCACAATGCTAATTTAAGTATATGTAGTATTAACATATGGCAGTAACACTGAGTACTCCTCTTTTACATTCTATACACAGAATGACATCAAGGTTTTCCAGTCAACAGAACATTCCAATTCAGTCTCACTGCTGCTCGTAGTGACTATGAAACCGCAATTTGGGGGCTGTCCCTTAAAACAATTCAAGTCTAAGTAAGCGAAATAAGGCACAATTAATATTCCATTTGATTTAGAGGATGGGAAAAAGGGGGAGAGGCAGGCTTCAGATAATAGTTGTTGCAGAAGAAACATTTTTACCCAATCCTTTTGAGAAAAGGATGAATTTTATCCCCATCCTAATCTACACGGACTTCTCTTAGAGAACTGAAGTATTCTGCCAGGCTACTAACGCCCACMTACAAAACAAAATTGGAAATTCACATTTTAACACCAGTTTCAGTAGTCTAACCTACTGCTGCTGATGTGGATGAGTACATCTCTCTTTAATGCTGAAGGAGAAGACACACACGAAACAAGATTCAAACCTTCCTCTGAGCTTGAAGACTCACATCTTATAGAGAGCTTGTAAGATACACTAGTTGAAGGCTTCAGCTTACTGATAAAAAGGAATAGCATTTTTGCCTTTAAATCCCTGGCCCCTCTTCACTAACGAAGCCTAACCAGACATTACAAATAAACTGCAACAAAAAATTTGGCAGCACAAAGAATGTCTAGTATTCAAATCTTCATTTGTGAGTATATAATTTTCCTTGTACAAAACCTGTTGAATGTTTTTTCGCAGCAGATGAACTGTACCCAAAGATGCAGGACATTCTGTGATGGGGAATAAAGAGGTTGCAGTTCCGAAGGCCCCTGACTTTGGTTGTTTACAAAGTTCATTCCTGTTTAGTGTGATCCTTGGTATCTTCCTCATCTGTGTATTCTGCTGGTTCTTCCCCTGGTTTTAGGAGTCTACCTACGTAGTCATATTTTTCTGAAAAAGATTTATGATTCCATTACAATTAAACACAGCTGCATTTGCTTGCTAGCCATACTACTGCAAATTCACTTTTTCTCCTACACACTATGGTTCTAAATCTCAATCACTGAAATWGATGGTAATTTAGCAGCAAGCTCAGCCTCCTAAAGCAATCTTTCTACCATTACTTTCTCTGACTGTACTTTGTTTCCATTCTCCTCCAGCTGATCAGGCAAAATTTATCACCCAAGGCCTAGAAGCTGCTCTTCAATCCTTCAGCATGAAAAATGATTCCCCCTCCCTCCAGAGGCATACTTCCACATTTGTCAGAAATTATTTCAAGACAAACTCATTCAACCCTTTACATTAAAACCACTCTTAGTCCTAAGGACAATTCCATAGCATCCAAAGCCAACAACCTTGAGCTGGAGTTCCACCAGCTAAGCTGATGAGATTTGAGAGTGAAATGCTGTGCTGAAGAGCTGAGAGAAGAGTTTTCTTGTACAAAATGAAAAGTTTAAAAAAGCCGTAGTAAGATATAGCAAAAGCCTCTCTGTGGAAGAAAGGCCTGAAATCCCATGTCTTTTCTTAACAAAGTTACACTGCACACACATTAAGGGGGACCTCACTGCAGTCTACAACTTCTTCATGAGGGGGCAAAGAGGGCCAGACACTTCTCTGCATCGGGGAGGGTTAGGTTGGATATTAGAAAAAGGTTCTTCATCCAGAGGCTGGCTGGGCACTAGAAGAGGCTTCCCAGTGTCACACAGCACAAGCCTGACAKAATTCAAGAAGCATTTGAACAGTACTGTCGGGCACATTGGTGGGATTCTTGGGGATGGTTCTGTGCAGGGCTGAGTTGAAATGGATGATCTTTGGGGGTCCCTTCTGACTCAGCACAGTCTGTGATAATATTACTGTCAACATCTCTTTAACAGCTTCCCCAAGCTCAAATCAGTCATTTTTATTAAAAGCATTTCCTTAGGCTGATAATTTGAGAATTTACCTTTAAATTGCATTTCCCACTCTCTTACACTTTCCATCTGTACAGCATTTAAGTCCGATAGGTCATCATATTCATCTCTGAGTGCATCTTTATCTAGACAGAAAGTTGCTAGTCCCCTGGAGGCATCTCTGCCAGCAAATATTCCATATGGACCCTCTGAAAACAAAAAGACAAAATTGATACCTTCACGTCTTTGTTTATTGTGAGCAAATCTCAGTTCTTTACGCAGTCTGCCAAAGCCAAACATTAAACTTCTGCAGTGATGGGAACAGCAGCAGTTTCAATGCCATGGCTGTTTGACATTCAACAGCACTGCAATTCAATCTTTAATATCACTAGGAGATAAAGTCTGCTGAGAGAAGCAGAACCAGGAAAATAGCTTTGAAGGGGTATCTGGAAAAATCCCTGTCAGTTGATGCAAGCCAGTTGATGCAAATTCCAACGAGACCAGAGGCTGGAATTCAAAAGAAATATACTTCTATTAAGCAACACATTGAATATTTACAAGTCGGGCAGGAACAGAAGCAAATTGCATTGACATCTTAATCAGAAATCCATTATTATAAATAAATAAAACTTTTTAAAGAGRACTAATTAATGATTTCACTTCACTTACAGAATCACAACTTTTTGAATCTTTTGTGACATTTCTTACTTCTGAGGAAATCACCTCTCTTATTTTGGGCAGCAGATCTCCCATACCCTTAGCCTGTAATGCTCTTGAAAAAGCACAAATTGTCACGTTAAGAATATAAAGCAACTGCTTCCTCTGTGCTTTTTGGCCAATGCAAWGCAGCACAAATATCCCAATAAAATTTTGAGCAATGACTGTGAAATAAATATTATTACCAAGAGAAATGGATGATTTGCAAACCAACAATTTGCAGAATAAAGTTGGTAACTGGCTTTCCCAAATTTTACTTAACTGAAAAAACTCCAAGCACGTTGTTATCTTAGATTTTCTTGACCTAAAACCAAATACCTTAAATTCAGATCAATTAAAAAAAACCAAACCAATACAAAAAAACCCACTTTAAATTTTTCTGCATTAACTGCAGCAGCCTAGCACCACAGAGATACCCAAGGCCTGCTACAGAGTGGTCCCTGCTTGATGGTAAACAGGCCAGAACCCTTCTCTGGCTTACCTCTCAACAGTGGCCGTCAGCCTGAAGAAAAGGCAGCACCCATGGGCAAGAATGAACACAAGCAAGTGGCAACACACTGTCCTTCACCCCCTCTATTGCCTGCTGGAGCAGCTCAGAGCTCTTCTGCACCAGGACGAGCCATGGGGAATCATTCCGAAAGGCTGGTTCCTCCCAGGCCGCTGGTCCAGCCACCACACCTATCTGCTCTTGCCGGGCATTGACTCCAGGGTTGAGACAGAGCTGAACGCGGCAGCAACAATTCCTGAAGCGGGGAACCCGAGTACCCTAAGGATTAGAAGAAACTACGTCCTCACCAGAACTGCTGTCGTCTTTCCAGCCCAGAGTGCTGGGCATTGTAAGCYGCTTACAGTCAAACCTGAGAACAGAAGGTTGTCCTGTGTGCCAAAGACAATTCCCTTGTCTCTCTGGAAATAAACCAATTGATTTCAAAGCACAGTTTCACAAGAAGGAGATRTCAGAAAATTAACTATGAGCTGGAAGTTTGCACTGTACCAGTCTGAACATAATAATGAACAGCATCTCTGTGCCCATTCTTTCAGGTATTTAGCTCCAGGAGCAGCGTTCACAAGAACTGCCTCAGGGATCAGGGACTACAGTTACAGTACTTCAGAGAAACAAAGTCAAGAGGGCTATCTTTCCTATTTTCACTCTGAATTAAGTAATTTTCTGAAAAACAGGATTTAGAGATAAAATCAATCCTATACCAATGCACTCTGCGTGCTCAGTCACTTTCACAGAACAGGGTAAGAGGCAGTGCTGAGCATCATCTGCAACACAACACAGAGTTTTTCAAACAAAAAGTCTTGCTTCATTCAAAACAGCAATCATTCAAGTGATCTTCTTTTTGATGTTCTGAATGAAAACCATGGGAGCTRTAAACAGCTCTTACAAACACCACAAGTAGTAAATCCTAAAAAGCAATTATAAATTGTTCCTTAATGATCCCACCAACAGTATTCTGTCCCCAGTTTTTCCTTTCTCTRAAGTGTTTTGAGCAAATATGTCCATAAATCCTACTATCTGCACAAGGTATTTTTCAAACTCGGGCTAATCAGAAAGTAGCACCCCGCTCCCCTTCCCTTCCACCCTACATTTAGGGATCTATGGAGTTTCACAGCACCTGCTGAGATGTCACCTCTTGGTCCACCAGCTTGATTCCAATTACTTATATTAAAAAGAGATGACATCGTATTTATCAGTATCAAGCACTGAACACTCTTAAATCTCAATAGTACACTTAATTAAAAGCCTGAAAGCTTTTAGACTGTATCAGCTTGCATTAAGATTAATGCATGCAAAATTTCTGCAAGTATCTTGTAATCTCAGATGCTATTACACCACTCTCTTTTTTCTTTTCTAAAACTGATTTTGAATGTTAACATTCCAGAATGTTTATTATAAAAGTAGTCAGAAGTCACAGAGGAATCATCAAGCCAGGTCCAAGCASTCAGTGGAATGCTAACTTGTAAAAACCAACCTTTGGACTCAGTAGACAGCACTTTAAATTCCAGCTCTGCAAACCTAACTTAGAAATGTGTCTTATTCTTTAATCCTACACTAAAAAGYAAATATTGAATTGTGATTATTATTAAATGGTGCAAGCTTGGCTTCACCCTAGTTGCTAAAGCAGAAGTTCAGAAATCCCAGTATGTGCCATCTACTTCAAGATTTAAAGCTTCCATTCAGGTGCTTCTACATCGAGTTTAAACACAATATTTTATATTAATACAAAACATAGAGGTTTCAGGTTCTGCTCTAAGCCCATGTCTGTTRTTCACTTTTATATAAAATACTGGTGCAACAGTCTTAAAATGTATTTTGCACAACAGATTTCACTGCACTTGGAGAAGTGTCCAGGAAAATATGAGCACACGAAAACCCCTTCAGGAACAGGATTCTGACAGACATTAGTGCAATCCTACACACACTCACTCCCATGGAGTTCTTTCATGGCCTGATGCAATTTTAGTCTGCAAGCCCTACCCACGGTCCTTCTTTCCTTTCCTTTTGTCTGCCCACTTATTTAGCCTGGCTCCTGCTGTAAATAATTGACTGCAGCATGACATGAAAGACATGCTGAAGAGAGGGTTTGTAACACAGGTATGTAACCCAAAACAAGTTTCTGACACCGTATCACAAAATTTCAGTGTTTTTTTTTTTTTTTTTTTTTGCTGTATCCCCAAATTTGTTATATCACAGTCAAATATGTCTTTAAAAAATTCTTCTCCCATTCCTATTTGGCACACCACAACAACAGGAGTCAGGAAAGTGTCAAAACCAATTAAAACACATCTGCTACATGTTACTTGGCTATATGGAGGTACAGGTCTTCCATAAAGGAAAACTGTTCCTTGAAAAACGTTTTTCATCCCATTATGGCTTTCACATATTAAAGCACTCTGTTTTAGAGCCTTTGTTTACTTTAGCCCCAGACCAGTTGTCAAGCCCACATATTTGCCTGCCTATCTGCACATCTAACCTCCACTGCATTTCCCCTGTATAAAGTCCTCATCCACCTCACAACTCCACCTTGTATAAAGTACACCCTTCCCTAAGCTACAACACATGCAAAAYGTTGCTACCCACCACCTGCAGCTTGTCTTCCATGCAGAGTACATACAGTTAAGAATCTAGCAGCCTTGAGGAATCTGACATCCTATTCCAGCCTGATATTTGTCTTTATTCACAATAAACTGGGTAGAGAATTCATAAAGTCAAAGTCTCTCCAGACAATAAAAATCCACTTGGGATTTATGCATCTCCCAGCCCTGTTTTGAATCTCTAATGAAAATTTAATTTCTCCTATGCAGAAAAGGAAAAGGCTATTCAATCTAAAGCACCATATAAAAAATTCTGAACCATGAAGTTTTTGTTTGGAAGCACTGTTTCTAGTCACTTCCTCCAAAACAGGCTAAACTGGATTTTGGAACAGCACATTTCAATTTTCAGCCACTGTGGCCAACAGTTCCCCCAGCAAAACCTATGCTGGCATCCAACTTCAAGGGTATATCTCTGGCTGCCAAAGAGGCTCCCTGACCCTTTCAGCTCAGCAGCAGCTTTGTGGAACATCCCAGACTGTTACTCCAACACCAGCAAYGAAGGTGAACGTTGCACACTGACCTTTGGATTGCTCCAAGGGGCAGCACGAAGAATACACTACATGTGGACTTTATAGCTAATGAAGTGATARGTAAGCTAAGAATTGTATCCATTTTCACAGGGTCCATGTGATTTTTCTAAAGAAACTGCACAGGTCAACAACAAGGTTCAGTTTTAAACCAGCAGCTTTGGTTTCTTCAATGAGTCARAAARCACTTCAAAGCAATCACYAAATATTCATCTGTGGGCTCCATAMAGCTAYTGGAAAYAGACCCCAGTCTTGCCTGAAGCTCAAATACTCATGGACAACACTTGTTAATTTGCAGACAAGGATTAGTCTCTCCTTTAATGTGAGTTAAAAGAACAAGGGAGACAGGCCACAAAATTATTAACAATTGCATTACTCTGTAAGTTTGCCAACCTTTTCCACTCCAAATCAAAGTGAAAACTCCACTATTTCAAATTTTCTATCTGAATCCTGACATGTATTTGCTCAGTGTAGCATCTTTCATGAGAGAATAAAGAAGTTGAAAGTTAGACTAAGCCATGTGGAGATGCAGCTTGAAAGCAGGTGGCTTCTAATAACATTTATCACTGGGAATTCAAGGTGACATAATTTTAACTTTACTGCTCCAGATTTACATGAAAGGAAAGATGTGGGTCAATTTTAAGTTACAACTTGCATGGAAAGTATGTGTTCTTAGGAGACCAATCCAAATGCTAAAATGGGAATTCTACAGATGGGAWGTCTACATGCTAAGATGGGAACTGCTTAGAAACAGGGGTCTAAACCTGACTCCTCAGGCACAAGGCCAGAGAGCCTCACTCTCTCTTTTGCTTACTTGCTTTTTAACTCTGTGAAAAAAAARRAAAARAAGAAAAGTGCAAGAATCAATGACCCAATTTCAACTAAAGGGGCAGACAACAAGCACTGCTGAGAGCCTGTAGTCCAGCAGTCAGGTTTCTGGAAGATAATTCCATTCCTCAGAAGGGCCTAGATTCCCCATCTTGGTTCCACTGACCACTAGTTTATTTCACAATAAGACAAGCAATGCTGACCAGGTTTTTTTGTTCAGCGAGTGCGATGCTGCTGTGTACTGGACTTTACATCAACGTGTCACTACCAATGATGTCACTATCATATCTAATATATCCTGCTTTGAGCACAACTGCTTCATCAGGCCCCTCAAATATCAGGTGACTCAATGATCTCAGAGGTTTTTTCCAGCCTAACCAATTCTGTGACTGGAATATGACTGGTTTAAATAGGAACTAGCAATTTACACAGACCTCTTATCAAATACACAGTCGTTCAAGTTTTAAGGAATGTACTGAGGTTATGAAAAAAGGAAAAAGAAATTTAAGAAAAGACAGTGAGTTGACAGACACACAAAGCAGAAGCAGAGGAGGGATAGAATGCTGATCTTCCTGCACAAAACCACTTTACTGCTCTCCATGAACATTGCCYRGAGGCTCAGAACAACCTCCATGCTGGTAGCAAAGGCACTACCCCCTTTAACCAAAAGCATGGAAAYTATCTCTCACCAATATGCAGGTATACACCTTTTAGTTTTGCTGCTCCTGGCTGGAACTCCACCTCTTTATCCAGAAATACCACTTCTCTGAAAAGCTGAATCCCAGGGMGAGAAACACTTCCACTATATAGACACCAAATTGCTGACAAACATCAGAACCACAGAGAAGACTTTACACACTTTACAGAAGGCATTTCTTTTCCCCAGTCTTATCCTCTGTACTTATCAGTAACCCCTCAGCCTGTTGTATTCTTGAGATAAGGCCACCCTTAACAGTATTCTCCAAATACAACATAGGTGGTGCCCCTCCTGCAACATTTCACTCCAACCATATTCTTGGAAAGGATGTATAGAAAAGCAACATTGCCATGTGGTCAACAGGGACACAGTGAGATGTACAGCACMCAATTCTGAAGGAAGTCTAACAACATCAGATTATTTTTATATAAATTATCAGAAAAAATGTCAGCTGTTTACTGCAATGAAATAAAGGCAGTTTTCCTTTCACAAGAAATGAACTATGATGGAATTTTTTTGTAGAAGGAACTACCACTATCTAATCTATTCCTCTTGGCAAACTTGGAAGATCAGAAATCTTCATGGCATCTTGGAAGACAAGCATGGGATGAGAAATGAGYTGAYGGTGACAACATACTGCAACGAAGGAAAGTCAGCAAATTGATTTTTTTAAGATCATGAAACATTAAGAACCAAGAAGTGACGTGAACAGTTGCATACTCAGGGTTGCACACAATCTTGCTTTGTCATGCTCAAAGATGCCTATTTTCATAAATGCACAAGTATTTGCTAAGTTAATAAAAACCTGTTTACAGCACTACCTTAGCATGCCAGTGCAAATGCTAAATATTAAGATTTGCTGACATCAAGTCCTTTAACTCTTACAATGCTCTTCCTTTGACAAATATACAATCAGAAATCTTGATACAAACCAACAAAACTGAATGCTACAATAAATGAAAAGTTAAAACTGTCTCATTATAAGATAAAAAACCAACAAAGCACACACAAAAGGTATTAATGATTAGACCCTAAGTCATGAGATGTGATTACAGATGGGATATTGTCCCAATAGAGGTTCTCCAACAGTCTGGTTATGTGTTATTTCTCATAGTGAACCACTAATTGTTTACTTTATTTCTTTTGAGTTTGTGGATGATAAAGCTAAAGGCAATTAATTAGAGTTAATAATCAGTCAAAGCATTCTAGGTCACTTACTCATCTGGGCACAAGAAGAAGTGGCATTTGACACACCTAAGTGAAGTCTTGAAACAAAGGTGTATTTGCAGGATAGAGCAGCATTTTGGAAAATAACTTGGCAAGTAAAGTTTTAAATTAAGAGTTCAATATAAGCAAAGTGGTTTTTGGAGGCACAGATTGCTATTTGTGCAGTGTAACCTTTCTTTGCTCTCAGCTTAAATACATTAAGACATACCAAAGACTAACCGGATACCAATTGGATAAACGGTGGAGGGCTTAAAGAAGACTACATGAGAAAAACAAAAAAAAATGGGAAATATTTGGATTAAATGTTCAAGAAAATGTAATTTTCAGTCACRGCTGTTTGAAAGGATGGCTTCAACAGTCTATCAATATTTAAAAATACCTTAACTGTATGTATRTAAAGGGATCTTCAATGAAATGGACCAAAGTATAGCTGGATTCACTGGATAAAAACTTAAAACCAGGAGAGCCTGGAATAAAATCAGAAGTTTGCTGGAAACTTTAATGGAATCTCAATTGTTGGACACAAATCTGGACTAGCTGACAATTTTGTGCATTTTACACTTCCTGCTCTAAGCAGAAAAATAAGGAACACCTTGGCATCCAAACTACACGGAAAGAGAAAAACCTGACCTTACTATCAAGATGTGAGAAGCCACGAGACAGCCACGTTATTCAACATTAACCCAGCACTCCAGACATGCTGAAGATGGACAGCGACCCTTCAGCCACTGCTTTCTGCTGCCTTCAAAGCTGAAGCACTCTTTCTTCACATCAGTACCTCAACAAACTATTAAAGGCTCCCAGACAGTGCCTGAAATATCAGCAAAGCCAGTGTCCTCAGCTCCTTCTTCTGTTAAAATTCAGCCATGCTTTGCACTTCCCTTGCCACACTCCAGCTATRAGACATAAAATCACCATGAGAACTGCTGTGGACATCTGGCTACTCTGSCTGAAGCCTTTCTGAAAAGCTCTCWATCAGCTGTAGGAGACTCTTTCACCTAAACCCTTCTCAGGTCTGTAAAGCCTKCAAACTACCTACTAGTATTTTTCTTTTCAGCCACAAAACACTTGCAAGAAAAAAACTCCCTGATTATGCATCCAAAGAGAGAAACCACGTCAGCATGATCCAAAAATCAACAYGTTTGGCAGAGAACAGAGCTGATGATGCACTGGTTGAGCTTTATATGCAACAGTCCAAGTTACAGATCTGATAGACAAAAACSATGTCACTTCTGTCGGAAAAAGGCAATCTTTCACTACAGGGACAAAAAAAAATAAAAAAGCCTCTTTGTCCCTCTCCACAAAAGGCTAGAAGCACTGCTTTTAAGGAAACCAGCTGCTACGAGTTATCAAAAAGCAGATTGATGTCCTAGAACATTAAGTTTTAGCTTCCTCACAATAACAGGCCTCCAAAMGTTGACAGTGTGAACCACTGATGGTATCTACAGTGGAGGGCCTAACATTTRACTGAAGTTTGATACACAAAAGAGAGAAAGTGAACATTTAGGATCATGGTTCAGTATCATTTCATGGAGTACTCTGTCAGCTTACTGGTGTTTTAAATCTCATGCAGAATGTGTATTACCTGCATTTTAYGTCAGCACACAGGTCTCAGTTTAAAAACCCCTAAATAAGAGAAACAAAAGAACTGGCCTGATTAAGTGTCACGAAAGCTGCAGCTCACCAGGCTGCATTTTCTCTGCTTTACTAGTTAATAAACAGCATAAAGCATGGCAAGGTACTTCAGATTCCATCGTGAACCTTTACAGTACCCAGCCAAAAAAAAGCATTTTCATTCAATTACAGCAGTTTCAATTTCTGCAACTGGTATTTTAAACTTTGAGTGTAACGAGTTACAAAATTCTAGCCCAGTTCAATCACACAGCTGCTTGTCCTTTCCCCCCCAGGAACCATAGACCTGTAACATGCCAGCTCTGTATTTTTCTTTTTGTAACCTCAATAATTAAATAATAATGATTACTTAACTTGAACTATATCCTGGAGGAGTGGGAGGTATCCTCTCTCCCCTCCACCCCTCTCACAAGGAAGACTGCCATGCCTACTATGAAAACTCCTGCATAGTTTGATTAGATCAGGTTTTCCAAACCACCATTGTTTAAAGAAGAAAATTATCAGCAGTCATAACCTTCATTTCCTTTGGCATCAGACGTGAACTCAGTGCTCACCAGTAAGTTTACCCACCTCGTTATTAACACTGTTTATCATGAGAAAATAGGCTGCAGTTTCACAATGTACAAGATGAATACAAATTATTTTTCTGAACCTTTGAAATACACATTTCCTCTCCGAAGAGGAATGTTGTCTGTCTTTCTGTCTGAGAGACTGGCTTGATACCTGCACTGTTCCCAACATTAGCAACATACTAGTCCCAGAGCTCTGCTTGCCTGTCTCTATCCCGACCAAAACCCATACTCAATATGGCATTTACACCTAAACAAATAACCAGCTGGTTGGTTTCCTCTCCTGAGCCGTAAGCGCTAGAACGAAGAAAGCACTGCTCAGCTGCACTTGGGAAACCTACTAAAAGAGACAGAAGGAAAAAAAAAATAGAATTAACCATGGCACATCCAAATCAAGGCATCGGGAGCAATGACGGGTGCCTGAGGAGAACTCAGCCCCGCTGTGCACCACCAATGTAACACCGCCGGTGGGTCCCAGGCCGGGACTCCCCCCATCCCCCCGCYGTCTCACCGGGCCCGTAGAACTTGCTGCCTTTGGTCACGTCGAAGACTTTGCCGTTGACAGCCAAAAGGATGCGAGGGTTGCGAGCGCCGTCGAACTCGCGCAGCTGCTCCAGGGAGAAATCCCGGCGCTTCATGCGCGGCAGCGCGGCGGCCTCGCCCTGCTGGGCCGCGCCCCCCGGCCCATTCCGCCTTCCCCAGCGCAGGTACAGCCGGTAGGCCGCCAGCAGCGCCAGCGCCAGCAGCCCCAGGCCTAGCAGGATCTCGCCGCCCGCCACGGCCGCGCCGCCCGCCCGGCCGCCCTCAGTCCTGAGCCTCCCCTGCCCATCGTCCGCCATCGCTGCCCGGACAGCGCGCGCCCGCCCGGGAC